ATATGATGGAAAATGTTTGGCCGACATGGGTGGTTGCTTTAATTGTGGAAAGAATGGTCATAAGATGAGAGACTGCTCGATGCTTTCTACTACGGGAAGGGATGGTAGGCCAGCTCATCCTAGTGGTTTCGGTTTGGGTGATCCGAAGCAAAACTGATTCTATGCTCTTCAAACTTGACAAGATCACGAGGATTCTTCTTATGTTGTGACTGGTATGTTGAAAGTTTTTCACCTTGATATTTATACTTTACTTGATCCAGGTGCTACGTTAACATTTGTCACTCTTTAATTGGTCGTGAGAGTTGATGTTAGTCCAAAAATCCTCTTTAATCCCTTTCATGTCTCTACTCCTGTTGGTGATTCTATTGTTGCTAAGAAAGTTTGTAGAAATTGTCCTATTTTTGTTTCTCATAGAGTCACCCATATTGAACTTGTAGAGCTTGATATACTATATTTTGATGTTATTCTTGGGATGAATTAGCTTCATGCATTCTACGCTTCCAAAGATTGTAGGATCCGATTGGTCACCTTCAAGATCTGAATGAACCTATCATGTCAATAGAAGGGGCAAATTATGTTCTTAATGGATTTTATATATTGACTAAAGTCTAGGAAGATTATTTCTAAGGGTTGCATCTATGATCTTGTTTGAGTTAGGGACATAAATTCTGAAACCCCTATTATTGAGTTAGTTCTGATTGTAAATGAGTTTCTAGAAGTGTTTCCTGATGATCTTCCCGGTATTCCTCTCGAAAAGGAAATAGACTTTGATATTGACCTTCTTCGAGATACACAACCTATACATATTCCTCCTTACTGTATGGCCCAGGAAGAACTTAAAGAGTTAAAGGATTAATTGAAATATTTCTTAGACAAGGGTTTTATTACACTGAGTATCTCTCCATGGAGTGCTCCAGTGTTGTTTGTTCAATAGAAAGATGGTTCTATCCAAATGTGCATTGACTATTTGCAATTGAATAAGGTTACTATTAAGAATAAGTATCATATTCCAAGGACTTTGATTTGTTTGATAGACTCCTAGGAGTGAGTTATTTCTTTAAGATTGATCTTCGGTCTGATTATCGGCAATTGAGGGTGAAGGAGAATGACATTTCGAAGACATCTAATCAAACTCAGTATAGTCATTATGAGTTCTTGGTGATGTTTTTTGGTTGGACTATTGCCCCCGCGACATTTATGGATTTGATAAATAGGGTCTTTAAGAAATATCTTTACATGTTTGTGATTGTGTTTATTAATGATATTTTTATTTAATCTCGAAGTGAAGATGAGTATATTGATCATTTGACGATTGTATTATGAATTCTCAAGGATCTGGTATTGTATGCTAAGTTTAACAAGTGTGAGTTTTAGTTGAGTTTTATTGCTTTCCTTGGCCATATTTTCTCCAATCAAGGTATTCAAGTCTATCCTAAAAAAACCGAGGTTGTTAAGAATTATCCTAGACTTTTATCCGATTTAGATATGCATAGTTTCTTGGGTTTGACCGGTTACTATAGAAGGTTTGTGGAAGGATTTTCCTGTATTGCTTCACCTTTGATGAGATTGACTCCAAAGAAAGTGAAATTTCTATGGTCGGAAGCTTGTGAGAAGAGTTTCCGAGAGTTGAAGGATAGACTCACTACAACCCCTATCTTGACACTGGTGGAAGGATCAGATGGTTTTGTGCTTTATTGTGATGCTTCATGGTTTGATCTTAGTTGTATTTTGATGCAACATGGAGAAGTCATTGCTTATGCTTTATGTCAATTTAAGGTGCATGAAAAGAATTATCTGACTCATGAGTTGGAGTTAGCGGTGGTAGTATTGCCTCAAAGATTTGGAGACATTACTTTTATAGTATTCATGTAGATGTCTTTAGCGACCATAAGAGTGTGAAGTATGTATTCACTCATAAGGATTGTAATCTTTGTCAAAGGAGGTGGCTTGAGTGTAACACCTCAAATTCAAAAAGATGAAAATCTCAATTTTCAAAAAAGTCTGGTACTAGCACAGACAGAGCCACTAATGGTCCATAGGTCCGACCACGGACCATAGGTGGGGCCATGGTTGGCCAGTCCAAATTTTCCTAAGTGTCAAGGTTTTAGTATTTTCATATGGTTCACCAGGATGGTCTGTTTGCCAATGTACGAGCCGTAGGTAGGTCTCATGGGTGAGTCACATGCTTAGTGGAATTTTTAGGGCCAAGAATAGGACTTACAGTGTGCATGTACGGACTATTAGTTGACCGACGGACCGTACATGGGTCCCGTTGTTTGAAGGCCCACAAAACAAGTTTTTGAACGCATCAACAGTTGACCAGGATAGTCCGTGGTTAGACCTATATATGGTCCATGGGTCCAGCCGTCGATAGGGTCCGATAGTTATTTTAAAGGGGCTATTGGGTTTTTTTCTAATTATTCCAACACAATACTATGTTGTTTTAATCCTTACCCAAAGCCCTATATAGTGAATTTTAACCCCCAAAACACCCAATTCAATTCATTCTCCAACATTCCCCAAAGTTGAACAAGTCATTCTCTCAAATATTTCTCTCTCTAAGGAAGAAGAAGAAAGCTAGGGTTTCAAGGTCAAGTCTCTTAATCCTCCATTTATTTCAAGATTTTGGCATCAAGGTATGATATTCTTTACCTATGGATCTGTTTCCTCCATAGGGTTCATAAATTCTCCAATTTCCAGGTTAGAAATCTCTCATTGAAGCTAGGGTTTTCTTCCATGTCATGGGTTCCTTTCAATGTGGATATAATTGATTGTTTTATGAACTATTATGCATGAATTGAGATAATCCTTTGTTTTTAATATGAATTCCTATGAACCCATTCTTAACCCATGTTTTCTAGATTATGATGATTGGAAGTGGGTTTTGAACTATGAAAGAGGAATTATGAAGATATGCATGCTCTTATAGAATTGATGAAAACGAAGCATAAATGTTGTTGTTGTTGATTGTTGTGAATGGATTTCTCACATAATACTCAATACATGAATGTGACAGGTTTTCTCTCATAAAGAATTCTTAGAGTTGAAAGGTTTTCGCAACTAAACTATGAATCAACTTTAAGGAGCTATTCCAATGGTAAGACAAGAGGCGATTACCCATGTCCCCATAATGATAAGACAAGAGGCGATTACCCACGTCCCTTAAAGATAAGATGAATATGATTTATGACTATTTCGTGGGAATTATGCTTAGTATGAGTGGACAAGTGGCGATTACTCGTGTCCCATAAACTATGTGCCATCATAGGTTCTCATAGATAGGCATTAGCTATTGGATCCACTTAAGCTAGAAGTTCATCGTCCTTAACTTGGCAAGTGATGACACCTCATTTTGATGTGGGGTAATCACAAGATTCCATATTATAGCTCATATGGTCTCTATGTCAATTAAGGAAAATTTCCCACAACTATAATGATGAAGTAAGGTTACTTCTAAAAGTATCGTACAAGTGTTCAAAGATGATTTTACTTTCCTTGACCATGATCATGATTATACTTCTAATCTCTTATCTTAATGTTTTAACTTGGTCTTTGCATGTCATGAAAATGTCATTTTAGCATGATTTGGTACTTTTATGCATTGATATATACTTGGTACATTATTGAACTAACACATACTCTCTCTTACATTCTTCTAAAAATATAGTGTCCAACGCTCCGATTCCTCATCTCTGTGGCAAGGGATCACTTAGTAGATATTGAAGATTGGTGAGTACTCATGTTCCGAGGATCAAGCCTTTGTTTCTTATTGTCTTTACTTTTTAGTATTATTTGTGATGTACGGGTTACATCCTGATCACTCTTGATGTACTAGATGGCTTTGAGACTATATAGACTTCAGCTTCGTTTTTATCAAACTCTTTGTGATATGAATTGTCTTTTCGAATCATTAATTTTATTATCTTGTATGATGCATGTTAGATGGCTTATGTAGGGCCTCTCGGGGTCCTATACGCCATGTTACGCCTAGGGTATACTTTGGATCATGTCAAACTTGGTATTTAGAGCACAAGATTTAGAATGGTCCTTGGATGTCTCATAAGCCACGTCGAGTTGAGTCTTGTTCATGAGTGTGAAGCGCGCCACATTTATGAATAACAAGCTATAAGATGATTAGGAAACTCCAATTCTTTTATACTCTAAGTTGTGCGATAGAGTGTAACTATTTATGTCCTCTCAATTCTTTTATCCCTATTCAGTGCTTTTTAAGAAATGGCCTCTCAAAGAGTATACGTTTGGAGGAATGCGAATGAGAATGTGGAATAATAAACTCCTCCTCAAGCTCCTCAAGTTCTGGTTTACCCTTTGGCCGAGCAAGTGACTAATGTGGAGTTTAGGGTTGTTTTTCAAGTGTTGGCTCAAGCCATGATAGCTCAAGACATTAGGGAGATTGTTGTCCCCATGAACCCAAATATGGGTACGGTGGTAACTAGGGTGAGAGACTTCTCTAGAATGAATCCCTCGAAGTTTCATGGTTCCAAGGCTAAGGAAGATCCTCAAGAGTTCATTGATGAAATGTATAAAGTGTTGATGATCATGGGATTGACGCTGATGGAAAAGGCGGAAATTGTCACTTACCAACTTAAGGGTGTTGCTCAAGTTTGGTTCAACCAATGGAAGGAAGGGAGGGCAGTTGATGCAGGTCTTCTCGATTGGGAAAATTTAAAAGGTTTATTTCCTTGATATGAGGGAGGCAAAAGTACTTGAGTTCATCAACCTTCGTCAAAGAAGCATGAATATGAAGGAATATTCTTTTAAGTTCACACAATTTTCTAGGTATGCTCCTACTATGGTTGGCGATCCTAGGGCAAGGATGAGTAAGTTTATTTCGGGTGTGTCTGAGATGGTGGTTAAAGAATGTCGTACCGACATGCTTATCAATGAAATGGACATTTCTTGTCTTATGGTTCATTCTCAACAAATAGAAGAGAAGAAATTGAAGGAAAGATCTAGGGAGGTGAAGAAGGCAAGGACCAGTGATGGTGACTTTTCATATTCAAGGTCCAATGGGCATTGTCGTTCTAAGTTCTGACAAAGGATTTCCTGTCAAGGTTCCTCCAAAACCCCTCCTAAGTTCAACGAAGATAGGGTATCTAACCATATGCCTCAAGGAGGAAACAGTAGTGGATCTTTATTGCCTACTTCTGCTAAGTGTGGAAAGAAGCATGAGGGTAGATGTCTAGCCGGTTCTAATGCATGATTTGGCTATGGTAAGATAGATGGCAAGATAAGGGATTGTCCCTCAGTTGCTAAAAATAAAGGATATAATTGTGAACGGGCTCAACCTAATCCTTTGTCCGGTTCTAGTGGGAGTTAGAAGCAAAACGATTCTATGCACTTCAGACTCATCGTGAGAAAGAGAGTTCTCCCGATGTGGTTATCGGTATGTTGAAAGACTTTCATCTTGATGTTTATTCTTTACTTGATCCTGGTGCTACCTTATCTTTTGTCATGCCATATGTGGCTAAGAGGATTGATATTCTTCCGGATGTGTTGATTGATCCTTTTTTCTGTCTCTAATCCTATTGGTGAATCTATTGTGGCTAAGAGAGTATAGAAATTGTCATGTCTTCTTACCCCATAGAGTCACTCATGTAGATCTTGTAGAGCTTGATATGTTAGATTTTGATGTCATTCTTGGTATGGATTGGTTGTATTCTTGTTATGCTTCTGTTGATTGTATAACCCAAGTGGTCTAGTTCCAGTTTCCAAATGAGCCTATCCTAGAGTGGAAAGGAGGAAATTTTATTCCTAAGGTTCAGTTTGTTTCTTGTCTTAAAGCTATAAAGATGATATCTAAGGGTAGCTTATACCATCTAGTTAGGGCAAGGGATATGGATTCTGAAACCCCTACTCTTGAGTCGGTCACCATTTCAAATGAGTTTCTAGAAGTGTTTCCTTATGATCTACTCGATTTTCCTCCTGAAAAGGAAATAGGCTTCGGTATTGACCTTCTCCCAGATACACAACCTATCTCTATTCCTTATTATTGAGTGGCTCAGGAAGAACTTAAGGAATTTAAAGAGCAATTGAAACATTTGTTGGATAAGGGTTTCATTCGATCGAGTATCTCTCCATGGGGTGTTTTAGTTTTGTTTGTTCGAAAAAAAGATGGTTCACTCCATATGTGTATCGACTACCGGTAATTGACCAAGGTTACAATTAAGAGTAAGTATCCTCTTCCAAGGATAGATGACTTGTTTGATCAACTACAAAGAGCAAGTTACTTCTCTAAGGTTGACCTCCGGTCGGGTTATCACCAATTGAAGGTAAAGGAAGATGATATTCTGGAAACAGCTTTTTGAACTCGTTATGGTCATTTTTAGTTTTTGGTGATGTCTTTTGGGTTGACAAATGCCCGGTGCATTTATGGATTTGACGAATAGGGTATTTAGATAGTACCTAGATATGTTTGTGATTGTTTTTATCAATGACATGTTGATCTACTCAAGGAATGAAGATGAGCATACCAATCATTTGAGGATTGTGTTGCAACTCTTTGCAAAGTTTAGCAAATTTGAGTTTTGGTTAAGGTCTATGGCTTTTCTAGGGCACATTTTTTGTGGAAATGGAATTGAGGTAGATCCTAAGAAGACCTATGTGGTGAAAATTTGGCCTAAACCTCTATCCCTTACGATATTAGAAGTTTCTTGGGTTTAGCCATTTTCTAGTTTATGGAAGGGTTTTCATCAATTGCCTTTCCATTGATGGCATTGACCTAAAAGAAAGCAAAATTCTTCTGGTCGGAAGCATGTGAAAAGAGTTTTCAGGAATTGAAAGATAGACTTACTTTCGCTCTGGTGTTGACTTTACCTGAAGGAACCAATGGTTTTGTTATTTTTAATGTGATGCTTCAAGAATTGGGTTGGGATGTATCCTTATACAAAATGGGAAAGTCATTGCCTATGCCTCAAGGAAACTTAAGGTGCATAAAAATAACTATACTACCTATGATTTGGAACTAGTGGCGGTTGTATTTGCTTTGAAGATTTGGAGGCCTTACTTATACGGTGTTCATGTCTATGTCTTTAGAGACTACAAAAGTTTGCAATATGTGTTTAAATAGAAAGACTCAAATCTTCGCCAAAGAAGGTGGCTTGAGTTACTAAGGGATTATGATATGAGTATTCTCTATCACCCCAGTAAAGCAAATATGGTAGCGGATGCTCTTAGTCGGTTGACAATGGGTAGTGTTGCTCATATAAAGGATAGTAAGAAGGACTTTGTTAGAGATGTTCATAGATTGGCCCGAATGGGTGTTTGGTTGGTTGACTCTAGTAAAGGTGGCGTTATGGTTCATAATGGTTCAAAATCGTCCTTTGTGTCTAAAGTGAAAGTAAAGCATGGTCCCGATCCGACTTTGGTTGAATTAAAGGAAGTGGTGCTTAAAAAGTCTGTTGAGTCTTTCTCCCAAGGGGGAGATGGTATGCTTCGCTATAAAGGTGTTTGTGTGTTCCCAATGTAGATGATGTTAGAGAGAAAATCATATCAGAAGCCCATGTTCTTGATAGTCCATCACCCGGGAGCCACCAAGATGTAATGTGACTTGCGGGAGGTCTATTGGTGGAATGGGATGAAAAAGAATATTGCGGAATTCTTGGCAAGGTGCCCTAATTATCAACAAGTGAAAGTTAAACATTAGAAGTTGGGAGGTTTGTCTCAAGATATCAGTAATCCTACTTGGAAGTGGGAAGATTTGAATATGTACTTCATTATTGGGTTACCTCGCACCTGGTGGCAATACGACTTGATTTGGGTAATAGTAGATCGAATGACGAAATCGACTCATTTCATTCCCGTCAAAGTTTCTTATGCGGCGGAGGACTATGCTAAGTTGTATTTGAGGGAAATGGTTTGGTTGCATGCATGGAGTGCCCTTATCCAATATCTCCGATCGTGGTACACAATTCACTTCTCAATTTTTGAAGTCTTTCCAAAAAGGGTTTGGTACTCCTGTTAAGCTTAGCACGACCTTTCATCCACAAACTAATGGGAAAGTGGAGCGTACCATCCAAACTTTGGAATATATGATGAGAGCGTGTGGAATTGACTTCAAGGGTAATTGGGATGATCACTTGCCTTTGATTGAATACGCATATAATAATAGTTATCACTAAAGTATTGGCATGGCTCCATTTTAGGCTCTATATAGTAGGAGGTGTAGATCTCCTATAGGCTGGTTTGAAGTGGGTGAAGTTGCTTTGACAGGTCCCGAGTTGGTACATGAGGCTATGGAGAAAGTTCCACTTATTAAAGAAAGGTTGAAAATGGCCCAAAGTCGACAAAAGTCTTATGCAGATGTTAGAAGAAGGTATCTTGAGTTTGATGTGAATGATTGGGTCTACTTGAAAATTTCACACATGAAAGGTTTAATGAGATTTGGAACGAAAGGGAAGCTTAGTCCCCGTTATGTGGGCCCATATCGGATTTTGAGGTGTATTGGTAAAGTGGCTTATGAACTTGAATTCCCTAATGACTTGGCATCGGTGCATCCAATTTTCCATACCTCCTTGTTGAAGAAATGTGTTGGTGATCCAACCTCTATAGTACTATTGGAGAGTCTTGGCATAAAGGATAGACTTTCTTATGAAGAAGTTTCGGTTGAGATTTTAGACCGGCAAGTTCGGAATTTAAGAAATAAAGAAATTGCTTCCGTGAAGGTTCTTTGGAGAAATCAGTTAGTTGAGGGAGCTACTTGGGAGGCCGAGGCTGATATGATATCCTGTTATCCTAATATATTTCCCTCCGTCCCTACTCTAGCTTGAGGTGTTTAGTTCCACATGGGTTACTCTTATGGTGTCATGTGTCTTAGATATTCTTATGATTTCTTCATTTATGCAAGTTCATGAAAAAGCTTGATTTTTGAGAAGAATGAGTTAGCTTGATTGATTTTTTCATGTTTATGTGCATTTGAATATGATTTCCATATAGACCTTATGAAATGATGTTTGAAGATGCTTTAAATTGGAGTTGATGTTTCCTCCTCGGATATGTGCATTTATATATAATTGCAGTCATGTTGGGTTGTTAGGTTTAAGTTCCTACCCTCCATAGGATGTATTGAATCCCATTCGAGGACGAATGCTCCCAATGGGGATATATTGTAACACATTGGAATCATAAAGATGAAAATCTTAGTTTTTATTTCAAAAGCTCTGGTGTCAACACAGATGGAGCCACCAACAGTCCATAGGTCGGACCACAGACCATAGGTGGGGCCGTGGTTAGCCTGTCCAAATTTTTAGAAATGTCAATGTTTTAGTATTTTAATACGGTTCCCCAGGACGGTCTGTTGTCCAATTGTGGCATGAGTGTCCTCTATCATCCAAGTAATGTCAATGTGGTGGCGGATGCTCTTAGTGGATTATTAATTGGAAATCTTTCTCATGTTCAGGATGATAAGAAAAAGTGTGTTTGTTATGTTCATAGGTTGGCCTGATTGGGTGTTCGCTTAATTGATTCTAATAAAGGAGGTTTTATTGTTCAAAACAGTTTTGAATCATCTTTTGTATCGGATGTGAAAGCTAAGTTAGATCTCGATCCAGTACTAGTTGAGTTGAAGAAGTCAGTTTTCAAAAAAGCCATTGAGGCTTCTCTTAAGGAGGAGATTGTGTCATTCGATACCAAGGTTGGTTACGTGCTCCAAATATTAATAATTTGAAGAAATAGATTTTGATAGAAGCTCACAGTTCTTGTTATTTTATTCACCCGAGAGCCACCAAAATGTATCATAATTTGTGGAAAGTCTATTGGATGAATGGGATGATGAAAGATATTGCGGAATTTGTAGCTAAATTTCTGAATTATCAACAAGTGAAATTTGAGCATCAGAAACTGAGAGGTTTGGTTCAATACATTAGTATTCCTTCGTGGAAGTGGGAAGATCTAAATATGAACTTTGTAATGGTTTTACCTCGTACTCGGTGTCAATTTGACTCAATTTGGGTTATTATGGACCGAATAACAAAATCAGCTTAGTTTCTTCTTATTAAGACTTCATTTTCAGCCGAGGAGCATACCAAGATTTATATTCGGGAAATGGTAAGGTTGCATGAAGTGCCTTTATCTATTATCTACGATCATAGAACTCAGTTTATGTCTCAGTTTAGGAAGTCATTTCAAAAGGGTCTTGGTACTCCAGTGTGACTTAGCACGACTTTCCACCCTCAAACCAATGGACAAGCCGAGCGTACCATCCAGACTTTAGAAGATAATTTAAGAGCTTTTCTAATTAATTTCAAAGATAATTGGGATGATCATTTGTCGTTAATCAAGTTTGCGTATAATAATAGCTATCATTCTAGCATTGGGATGACACTGTTTGAGGTTCATTATGCTCGGAGATGTAGATCTCCTATATGTTGGTAAGAAGTGGGTGATGTCGCTTTGATAGGGCCCGAGTTGGTGCATGAGGCTATGGAAAAGGTTTGACTTATTCATGAAAGAATGAAAACAATTTGTCACGACCCAAATTGAGTCATGAGTGGCACCCACACTTAACCTCCTAAGTGGGCAGACCAAGGAATCTAAACCCCAACATATACCAATAATTCAACTACGAATAACAACAATGACGAGGAAGCTCCAAAACTTATTAAAGTAATCAATCAAATAAACCTATAAAGTCTATTACATATTATTCCCAAAATCTGAAAGTCATCACATGAAGAACATTTAATCTCTAAATACTAAGTCTAAGAGTATTAAAAACACCAAAATAAATGAAATAAGGTAATTTGTGTCTGAAAACTATGGACATCAGGACATGACCGAGAGAATCCAACACAAGCTCGAATAAATAGCTCACCCTTAAACTTGCTATGTTGAGACTGGCTAGAGCTGAGAGCGAGTCAAATTTGCTGGTACACTCGTTGCACTCCATAAAAGAAGACAAAGAAAAACACAAATAGGGCTCAGTACAGGGCAACATGTACTGAGTAGATATCATCGGCCAACCCAAAATAGAAACTAATATACAATGAATAATAGTATA